TATATCTATCTTGCTAGTTCAATCCATGTTAAGGTCGATATTCTTCTCGTCTTTTCGTAGCGTACACAACTTTCTATTGTTTGGCCACCATTCTTTCTATGCAGATTCCATTTGTTGGCTTCCAGCCTGTGCGCACATCTGAGCATATGCCAGCTTTTGGAGTATTTGGTCTGCTTCAGGTAGCTTCGAGTGCAGATGATAGGTTCTTTTCGCAAATGTCGGTTAAGCGTACTGTGTTTAGATTGTTGCTGCCATGCAATATGCTCGCCCTCGTATCTCGCGTCAACAGTTTATGACTCTATTTGTCGGAGGCCTCACAGCAGTCGGAATTCTTGCTGTTATTGTCTACTTTGCACTAGTTTGGGGAGGTATGATTGGTTATTAATTATTGATAGGCAAAATCCCGCATGATTATAATCGCTAATTTGTCAGTTTTTTCACGTCAATGACTTCTCCTTCATTTTCTAATCATGTTCTTCATTGTTGTCTTAAGGATATGTTGCTCCTTTCTCTGGTCGTTTCTATTCCCTATGGGATACTGGGTACGCGAAGGTAAGTTGTAAAACATCATTTTCAGAAATTTTTCAAATCATATATTTTCAAGATCCATATTCCCATCATTGCTTCTGTGTCCGAGCATCAGCCAACAACTTGGGTCTCGTTCTTTTTTGATCTTCATATCACAGCAGCAGTATTCCCCGTTGGACTGTGGTACTGTGTGAAGAACGTGAATGATGAACGAGTATTCAGTGAGTTTTGTATATTTAAACAGCTTCATAGTTCATGCCTGCAATGTAAATTTGATAGAAAAAGTTTTGAAAGAGCAGTTTGTCAGTTCAGCTGATCATCTTCATTGTAGTCATACTGTACGCTGTCTCTGCTGTTTATTTCGCGGGAGTGATGGTTCGACTGATGTTGACACTTACACCAGCTGTATGCGTTCTTTCTGGGATTGCGTTTTCCTTTACCTTCGAGAAGTGTGTTTATCCTCATTGTTCAATTCAGAGAAATTGAGTTTTCTTCTAATTAATGTCGTTCTAGTTTTTGGGCGTAGTTTCATCTTAACTACAGTTACATCTTTTTCTTCAAACAACCTCTTAAGATACGGCTACTTG